TTGGAGCATTTGTTTTATGAACCACTCGACCACTTCGCACATAGCTTGACCTGACCCGCCGACCTACACGGACGCTGATGTGCGGGTGACAGGAGCGACGTTGGGGGTGGTATATATAACCTTGGATGCCATGAAAGGTAAGGCAAGGTAAGTCCGTCACCTAGATGACCACCTGAGAGGGAACGAGGGACCTCGTTCATGGGAAGGAAAGGTCCGGGTGAGGGGCTACTACAATTGAGCGCCAAACGTTGTTCGGATTTGATTCGTAGATTGCTCCGTCAAACTCGAGAACCCTGTATTACTTTTAGGAAAGAATAGTGACATGATGAAAAGTGTCTTCCCGTCTACGAGGCAAGATAAGCGCCCCTCCCTCCCCTTCCCCCGGTCCCACCCTCCGCCCAGTAACACGAGAAGAGAAAAGGGACGACGGCTATTGCAAGACTTTTCACGCATCAGTCAAGGCCTTGGCCTGACGAGTACTCCTGCTTGCCCTAAGCCATGGCACGGCGCGCTGATCTGAGAGTGAGAGTGAGAGTGAGATAAGCTAGGACACAGGTGCGTAGTTATCGTATAGACGGAGAGGCTAGGCCAACCGCAGCCCTGTGTCCAACAAGGTTCTGAATGATATACAGTCGACTGAACTCAGTCTATGGCCCTGGCCAGCCGCCATCAGACTATAGACCAAGGGAACGAGTTCACAGCACGACAGACGATAGAGAGTAGTTTCGGGACAAATCAAAATGTATAAATTACGCCTCTTTGAACTCCATAGTTTCCTCATACCCTAGCTATCACACTCATTCGTCGAGAGGAAACTTCAACAAGCAATTCTTCTCTCGATAAAGTGCTGCTTTCGTCACCACATACCAAAGTCCGAGGCCGAATAGGGGGCTCCCCTTCCTATGTTGGGCGTTACCTTTCCCCCTCCTATGCTAACGGGTGATGTAACCAAGTCTATTATTACAGCGAGGCATCCTTTCATGCGGTATGAGTCGCCAAAGGAGCATCCCTCTTCTCTCCGTCCGTCTTGCGTTTCATGGCCAGCTCATTCAAGTAGTCGACGTCGAGCCAAAGAAAGGTCAGGTTGTCGTCGGATATATATGTGGCGCAAAGTCGAGCTCGTGGTTACCAGAGCAGCCGGGGCATTTACCAACACTTTGGCCTCCCACCCATCATTCGTGGGCCAAGAAGCTTGGGACCAGTATCCGGAAATGCCTCCTCGTGAAACGCTCCCAAGTACCATGTGTGTGTATCGTTACGTGGTCATACAGTGCTGTGCTCCGCCAGCCGCATTCCGCGGACCAAGTCGGAAAAAATCGTCGTACAATCGAAAGGAATTAGGCTAAAAACGCATCCTTGATGGGATCATGCGTTTCCGGGCTTCTCCTCAGTGTCAATGTGCCATACGACGTAGTTGGGCAGACCGACGACTCGGTAACCAGCGCGCTTGGCCATCTTGGCAAAGCCCTCTGTCTCGGCCTGGTTCTCGAAGGCGTAGCACGGGAAGTTGATTCCTGCAAAGATTAGAAAAAAGCTCGGTATTTCAGGCACAAGGTGAACAAACCTGATCTGTGGACATCTCCCTTTACGAGAATGTTGACGCCACCAATACCATCGAGGTCGAGCTCATCATCCTTATTGTTGCGCCAGTCGCCCTCCTTGGCCATGTATCTGCGTCCGGTATCGTACTCCTTGTAACCTAGTGGCTTGTGGTTAGCACCCGCTTACAGGTACTAGGAGCAGCATCCCTTACCTTCGGCGAGGACGACGTCCTTGTCCAAGCTAGCTGACAGTCTACGGCCCTTGTCAGACTCAACCCAAGAGTTGTAGTCAAAGCGACCCTCGATGTCACGGCCATCGCGGTAGCGGTGGAACCAAATGTCTGCCATATCGTCAGCATTTTCCATGTCGTGGCCATACGGAATATGCACTTACTCGGCACGAGGATGTCGGTATCGTGGGCAATGAAATCTTCCAGAATCTTCTTGGGGCTGTCGACGATATCCACGTCACGCCAGTAGATCCAAGAGTGCTCGGGCTTCATGGCAGCAGAAAGGAGGTAGTTGCGAGCCTTGCCCATGGCCTTTCGTCGGGGACCCTGGGCCTTGAACGAGTGGCGTTCCTCAACGCTCTGGCTAAGCTCGAAACCAAAGTCTTTCTCGACAACCATGGCGCTGTTGAAGGGGATCTTGTCAGGACGGCGCTGGATGCGGTCCAGCTCGGAAGCGAGAACGGCGAGGGTATCGTCCTTGGAGTCACCGACAAGGAAGGCGAGATCGATCAGGTGGTGAGGGTACGTCAGCTCGGCAATCAGCTCAAAGTACTTTGACAGGTACGGAGCAGCATCCTTGAGAGGCGTGAGAATCAGAACGCGCTCCTCGTTGGTAACGGCTTTGCGCGTGGACTTGATAGGGTTGAGGTCGACGTGGATGATGGAGGTATGGTTGATCTCCAGGGGCTCGTGGTGGTTGAAGATGACGGGGGTTTGAAGGTGGCCGGCCCACGAAGCTTGCTCATTGAGCGACATCTCCATGGGGGGTTTCGCGGGGCCCCAGCAGTAGAAGCTGCGCAAAGTCGCAAGTTAGCAAGCCATTATTTTCGCGGCGCATCGCAGGAAAATATCGCGCCCCTTAAGGAGGGAGAATGGCTACGTAGGTGAAAACTTACCTCTGCATTTCCGAAGCTGACGAGCGAATACCGCGCCATAATAGCAGAATGGTGCCGGTCAGGGCAACAAGAAGAAGAAAGCGCGTTCTAGTCAAGAAAGACCATACTGCTCTGGTGGGAGGTAGTCTTGCCTGGGCGGACTTCCAGTTGATTCCGCCTTTAGGAAGAAGCATGGCTCCTGAGAATGAAAGGGTGGTCTTTGACACCACCCGAAAAACACGTCTTTATAGAAAGAAGAAAGTGACCGATAGGTACCCCGGCACGACGAGTGTCCACAGTCGCAGAATTGCAGACGTGAGAGTGTCCTCTAGAGGTCGTAGCTGTTGACTTATCGTCGCTGTCGTTGCGCCAGGTAGGAGCTGCAAGTATCGCTTAAGGGCGGCCAACGGTCGGTGATGTCGCGCAAACAAAAGACGAAGTAGCACAAGCCTCCCCAAGACAAGTCCGAGTCGACAATCGAATTGCTGAGGCAGACAAAAGCAGGAGGTTAACTGATTGGGCAGTTTCGTGTCGTCCGATAGACAGCACTGTTTGCAGCACACAGTCTCCAGAAGGGGGTGGGCCAAGGCTGACGAAAGCCAAAAGGTCGTCGATTGAGTTGATAAGGGTTGAGAGGTCCAGAGATAGGTAGCAGGGCGACTCAGTATCAGGGATCCCGTTGAAGGATAAGGTGGTATGCAGTGCGATGCAGTTCGCGCTCTCAAGGCGGGTGTGCAAAGGTGTACTTTGGTGCTCTTCCAACCTTGTTGAGGTCCTCAAAGGGAATGCGAGATGAATTCGGCCAGAAGTTTTGTCGAGGGCAAGAAGACCAAAAGCGAGGGACGTTCGGGTAAGCCCAGCAGGAAGGGGAAGGAATTGAGAAAGGAGCCACGCCAATGCTGAAAGGGCCCCGAAAAAAAAAGGGTCGACCGGGAGGAAGAGCGACTGGTGTGGCAGGCTTGGATGGTATAGGCTAAGGCACGTCGAGGCAAGGCAGGCGCAGGCAGGCTTGGGTTGGAGGGAGGCAGGGTACATGCAAGTACGCGGGAGATGGAGGGCAGGCACACTCAACTTGGAGATTACAACAAGTACCTCACCACCTCTCACACCTTACTCTCCGAATTCAAGCGTACAGACCACAGCTTATTGCCTCAATCCGCGGTAGGCGAGTGAGAAAGACAGAGAGGAGAGAACACATTGGCCTGAACCACGGAACCCGCCAACTTTGCCTGCTGGACCCTTACCTTAGCACCCGTATCATGACTGTTCTATAAAGTAATACTTGTCTGCCTGCCCATTGAGGTAGGTACTTTGGCTGACCTTGGAACAGGTGCAAAAGCAGCTGCAACCCGCGGCTCGACAGCAGCAGAATACGAAGAATGAGCCAATGGCAAAGCCTCAAAAAGTTTAATCAGGTTAGCAGAGGTATCGTCTTGTACCGACAGCCCTCAGCACGCGAGATTGCCGGAGCTGCCAAGCGCTTCTGGACTCAGGAGACACTGTGCCGCAACCTGAAGGTACTTCGCCCTTTTCTCTGGTCTCTCTGTTTCTCTCCTTGTCCTACGGATACTATTCTCCCGTCCATTTCCCAGGACCTCATAACTGCAATTCAATTCCACAACGTGTCTCCCCGCTCATCTTTCCAGGATTAACACACGGGGGCTTCGTGGGAAGCACGCGCCCCCTTTCTACCGTTCATCTGTCAGCAAGTCAACCTAGAATCCCGGATGCTTGCGGCTTGTGGCCTGCCATCGAATTCAGACTTTAGACTTCAGCATGAAGGAGCGGGAGCCTGAGTAGCCAGCGGGAAATCAGCTGAATGACACAACCGCTCGCCAAGGGACAGGTTATCTCTCGGAGAGCAGAAAAACTTGCAGGCCTACCCCAGTGTTCTCCAGGGTGCCCGGCCGCATCCCCAAGCACGGAACACCTAACGACAACAGTGTGGTGTCCTCACGCGGTAGAGAAACCACCATACCCTCCCCGGCGTTCTTGGTGCAAATGGGAGGCTGTAGAATCGCTAACCGGACTGAGTACAGAAAGCACCCAATGTCAAGAACTCGCTCGTCTACCGAGGCCTAAGAAGCTAGACGTCCTCGAACTGGCCCGGAAGCCTGACAGCGAACTACTTCTTTTGTTCGACTGCTGTCACTCTGTCGGTTCAACGGCGCTACGAACCCTAGGCCCGATAGACGATGGCTTACGGCTCTCTCCCCCGTCGTTCAAGACCTCACTTCCTCAGTTTCTAATGTTATTTTACTGATAGATGGCGCCGATGGCACGCAGCTCCACCCTTGCTTTGCCCAATATCCGATGTTACGGCACCACATACCAACGCAGGTAGCGACTCCCCGATGCTGGCCTGTGCGAATGCCTGGGCTAGAACCGCTATCCGCATCTCGATTCGTCCAACCGTTATTATTGACCGTGGCACGCTGCACACCACACTCACATGGCACGCTCAATTCCTATTACCCGCAACAAGAAAGTTCAAGCTCTTCTTGCAGCTGTACTACTGTATGCTAGGATTCGCGAGAAACAGAGACGAATCGGCCCAAGATAATTCTTCGTCAAAACAACAAGCTAGGCCATTCCAGCCAACCCACTACCCCCTGAAAAGTCTTAGGAAAAGCATGGCACGGGAAGACGGCGAGAATCGAGAGATGGATGGAGACTTGACAGAGAGGGGGGGGGGGGAAGGGAAAGGCAGGGATCGCTGTCAATCTCCAACCCGCCACATCCACTATCCCACTCACGCACGCACGCGATTGTCACACCCGGAAGACAGAAAAATGGAGATATTTCCAGCTGTTCAACTCTCCGACCGCCAATGCACAGCAAACTTTCTAGATTTCGTCTCCAGCGTCCCTCTCTCCCCTCTCTTTTCGTTTGTTCCGCTCCGCGACTGTCTCCTCACGGGCAGCGAAAGGGACAATGCTTTTCCCCTCCGGCCTTCCAAAGGCCCAGGCCGCGTGCCGGCCATGGATCAGATGGAGCAACAGTCGTCGTCATCCGGCATCATCACGGGCATAGACGATGGATCCTATCCCCCCACAGTTCCGCCGTTGCGTGTGCATTTTGTCAACTCCTGATTCAGCTTACAAGGTGCGCTTACAGGAGGTAGGGGAAACCAATGGATGCAAAAGATGTTGCTCTTCGAATGCTGTCTTGCTGATCGTCCTACTCCCCGCCCGCCTGGTCAGGCCGTTGGTCGCGTGCACCGCATGCTGTCCACAACTCCCGGGGGCGACGGCCCAATTATGCACACAGCACCATCGAATCATCGATTCGACGGTGATCTGTCACCCTTAAATATAGCAACATGTCACCGGCCATCTTGTGGGAGCTCTCCATCCTACATTTAAGCAAGGAACTGGGCTACTATTTATCACACACCAGGCAGCATGGTGACTGATTGTCAGTCATTTACCTATCCTCGTCTGGTAGATGAAGGGCATAAAGCCGGATTTCGCATTCGATTTCGTATACACATGAAATAGTCCTCGTCGACCGTTGGCCACATGATATATGTTAGCAAAACCAGCCCAAGCTACAACTCGTATATAACGAATACGACCCCGGGTGTAAAAACGGGACCACGTCATAGCACTGGCATCATGTCATTCCCATGTTCGCACAGCCAACACGGCAAGAGACCTGCGTTGCCACTGGTATATCGGATGAGCATCATTCAATCCGATCAGCGTCCGGCACAGGCTGCCTCCAGCTTCACGGGACTGTGCTCTGCCGCAGGATCTGACCTTGACCGAGTCGGTTCATCCGACCATGATAATATAGTACTGCGTACGGGATAAACCAAGCCTCGGCTGAGTAAGCTGCTCTCTCCAAAAGGCAGGCGCATGTCGATCCAAGCGGGAAGCTCTCTTTCCCAGAAGCAGTGAAGCACTTCATCGTCGTCCCCGTGCGCCCCCAAACTCAAGATGACAAAGCACTAAGTGGTGCCAGCCGACTGGGGGCTCCGGAGCCTCAATCACTGGCGAACCTCGTTGTTGCCGTGAATGCCAACGACATTGCTACCGATGCAACTGCGACGTACTGCTGCTGCAACCAAGTGAACAACATATTCGATACCCAGGTTTCGACTCTACGTCGACTAGAGAATTCAATAATCACTTTTTTGAAAGCCAATGGCGTCTGAATGAGGGTTCATTTCATCCGTCTTTCTGTGAGCTCCGTTTTTGCTGCACGGGGATTTGTACGTTTACGACATCACTCGATATTCACCTTGAGCGGCTCGCACTTCACCCACGGCAGCCGGACAACAACTCACATCACTCAAATATCACCTGAGAACATACGAAGTCACTCTCCATCATCGAAGTCGTCAACAGAAAAGACATCACGAACAATGGCGTCCCGGCGATCAGCGCGACTGAGCGCCCAAACGGACATCAAGATTCCGCCGCCTCCCACAATCATAGCGCCTTCCGCAGCGTCCACGGCGCCAAAAGGCCGGAAGAGAAAGGTCCTGGCAGAACCCGCACCTATAGATTCAGCTCCGTCCTCGGACCCGGTCACACCGCCGAGAAAACGGAGCTCCAAGGCCGACCCGGTGACACCCGTTCCGCCTCCGCCAATGACACCCACCCCGAGCGCCGTCGGCCTCATCGCCGAACGCGTCAACGGCACCGTAAAGAAGCCCAAGTCCAAGGCTATTAGCCGGCTCGCTGACCCGAAACTTACCAACGCGCCCGTCATCTCACCCGAGACGTCGAGGGTGATCGCGTCTCGGTCCGCCGAGGCCGCATCGCCTTCCAAGGCACCGACGAGTAGTGTTCCAGGAGCAGGCGGGAGTGCGAAAAGAACAACCACGGACAACATCCTCGAGGAAGCATGCCGCCATCTCATCGAGGTCGACGAACGCATGAAGCCCCTCATTGAGAAAAACTACTGCCGCGTCTTCTCACCCGAAGGCCTCGCCGAAAAAGTGGACCCCTTTGAGAGTCTCTGCAGCGGCATCATCTCCCAGCAGGTCTCGGGCGCCGCGGCACGATCCATCAAGAACAAGTTCGTCGCTCTTTTCACAACAGATGAAGAACCCGAAATCAAAATCGAAGCCGCTGAGTCGACCGAGTCCGGGTCTTCCTCCAACAAGTTTCCCCAGCCGTCAGAGGTAGCTGCCCGCTCGATCGAGAACCTCCGCACCGCCGGCCTCTCACAGCGGAAAGCCGAGTACATCAAGGGCCTGGCCGAGAAATTTGCGTCGGGGGAGCTGAGCGCCCAGATGCTGGCGGAGGCCCCCTACGAAGAGGTGCGGGACAAGCTCATCGCCGTCCGGGGCCTGGGCTTGTGGTCGGTTGAGATGTTTGCGTGCTTCGGCCTCAAGAGGATGGACGTGTTCTCGCTGGGCGATCTGGGCGTACAGAGGGGCATGGCGGCCTTTGTCGGGCGGGACGTGGCCAAGCTCAAGGCCAAGGGCGGCGGCAAGTGGAAGTACATGTCGGAGAAGGACATGACAGAGATGGCGAGCCCTTTTGCGCCGTATCGTAGTGTGTTCATGTGGTATATGTGGAGGGTCGAGGAGACTGATATAAGCACACTGGAGTAGTAGTCGGGTTACGTATTACACAGGAAATAGCCTTTTCTCTCTCGGAAAACATGCCCACTCTTGCGATATTCAGAGTCCCCATCTCGAATATCGCGAAATTGCAGACATCACCAATGAGGCATGTGGGGTGTCCGGGAAGGATACGAAATCCCCGGCGATACGAGATATCGATTCTGCCGCACACCCAGAAGGGCCAGAACCAGACGAGAACGTAGCCAAACTTCCCCAACGAACGCTCTCGGCAGTGGAAACAAAATTATCTTCAATCTCTTAGTAATGGTCAAGCGGACTGCGGGATAGATCACGACGAACCTACCCACGTCATCCCTCAACTACTCAGGACCATTTAGGATTACCCCCAATGCCGCACATCGATCAAGCTTTCAGGCTTGACAGCCTTGTGCGTCAGTCAGAATTAGACTTGCACTTTCAGGGTTTTGCCTGCCCCCCAAGAGTACGGCGCGCGGACGATCCCAACGTTCAGCCTCAGAGGGAAAGCGGCGCAGCTTTCCATTTGTGTTTGGAGTTGCGAGGCGTTGCGAGTTGACTGGACGCACCGGCCCTGAGTGCCACAAGCAAATGACGGGTCTGCGACAACGACAGCGACACCGAAACCCGACGGGAGGCCTACGGCAGCTTGCAGCTGCCCCGGGCCGTGTTAAGGCAGAACGAAAGCGGTTTGTGGCAGGAACGGGAAAGCTTTCTCCACGCGGATGCTCCGTCTCGGCCATCGTGACTGTGAAATGGGGGTTGAACGTGCGTCAGCCAAGGATGTCGATGTTTGAAGTCTTGTCGCAGGATGAACATGTTGTTACTAAAAGTCTAGAACCTGACCAGCTGAAGAGCGTCAGGTATTATCCGCGTTACAAAGTGAAGAGTAACACATGACGCTCGTGCTCGAGGCCCTACGACAGAAATTAAGACTGTAGAGTCTAGGACTTTGCGTTGGAAGCTGCGAGTGACATCACAAGGCGATATACAGAGTAATACCAAGCAGCCGTCTGAGTCCAGATGCCTGTCCCAGATTTCCGTTGTGCGGCATACGGCCACCCGTGACATAGATCAGCCGCGATGGAAGATCGGTCGTTGCACTCTTTGTGCTTCGGAAGCACTCTGTTTGGCCAGCGCCGTTCGTGCCGTTGACGGTTTTCAGAAACGGCAGCCACAGCAGCTGGCAGAGCCATTGGAAAACCTGGCAGTCTTGGGTATCCCCCCTGCAAGCCTGAGAGATTATGAAGCTAGGATGAGCGCGGACAAGCCGGGGGTGACGGGTGTGTCACTAGCGTAGGATGGGACGCGCGAGCCGTCCGGGAACAAGATGCAGCAAGAGATATCGAAAATGAAGACTGGCATGTGGTAATATGGTGCGTAGCAGCGATGTAATCTTGCTGCGTTGCTAGTTCTTTCGTTTATCGCTTGTATCCGTATTGCCATTCCGACCTCCTATTTCTGGTGGATTTCTATCGGCTGATCATCAGACTGCATTGAACACAGAGATGGCAAATCTCGGGGGAGCGAGACAGGCACTGGTGGTTGGGGCAAAAAGACAGCAAGCATGCCATCGAGTATTCGTATATTGATTTGTACATGTGTGCCTGTATCCGTATACCAATTTGACTCATTGTCTCGGTGCGGCATCGTGGCAGAACATAACCTTGGAGGCAGCTTCAGTTCCGACCAGTCGCGGCTGAGTGTGCTGTCGCGGGCCGCTGAACAACCCAGCCGAGAATGGACCAGTGGGAGGCAAATAGTCGTCAGCGCTCAGCCGCCATTTGCAAGTTCGGGCTCGCTGGTTTCGTAGAACAGTGTTGGCGTATTCTTGGAAGGGCCTTAGCGTTAGTGTAAGTAGACGTCGAAATGGCTAGCGACGCGACACGACTGTGAAATGTCGTGCCATCGCCGTGGTTGGTTCCGGGTATCGACTCCGTCTCATCCACCATCGTACTGCTGCAGCAACACTGCGGATAGGATTAACTGACAGAGCCGATGATTGCAGATGGACCACAGCAAGCCCCCGTATGCCCGCATTCTGCTGCCGTCAGTGTTGAGCCGTCGACGAATGGCAGCGACCAATGACACAGCCAAGCTCTTGTTGAACGCGTCGCGCTATATGCACTGCCAACTTCTTGTCTGTGGGTTGCAGTCCTGACCGAGGCCGCCGTGCAAAGCCTGAAGTGAAGGCCTGGGCGACTCGCGAGCCAGGCATGATTTGATATCTGCCTGCGAGTGGCCATCCGTACTCTGTACACTATGTTTGAGCCGAAGTTATTAACGTGCTTTAAACTTGCTTCTTCCCGAGCCTCGTCACAGTTTTTGTCGAGTCCAGGCCATGGCCGTGCCCACAATCATTCGGATGGCCGAGCAACTGCGTCATTGACTGCAGCGGCTCCTGGCGGTGCCAGCAGTCCTGAACTGATGGATCTGTAAATCAAAACATTGTGCCGCTCAGGGAGATGAAACAATTTGTGGGTGGATGGCCGACATAGCCTGCGGTTTTTTTTCTTTCTTGTTCGCGGCAGCCGGTAGTGGCGTGCTGGGTAATGTACCTGGTACAAACTTGGCACCATTTGCGATGGTTTTTCTCTGGGATGGAGGCGATCAACGATGGGGATTCGATGCCAGCTGAGCAAGGCCTCGATGATTCGAGCAGGAGCTTTTGGGCAGCGGGTTGTTGGCGGCACCCATCGGTACCAATACGGACTGGGTGTCGTGGGTGTGTGAACAAAAAAGGTCGGACCGCAGATTGATTGCCAGAAGAAGCCTGGCTCGAGACGGTGGGTGTTGATTGGTGGCGGAAGGAGGGCCAATTGTGGATTGGGAGTCCTTGAGTTGTGACACTTTTGCGAGAGAAAGGAAGTCCCGGCTGGAGCCTCACTGCCAACTGGGCCTCAGGCGCTATCAACACAGCAGTAGATTGGTGGTGGGTGGTCACTATCTGCGAGGTGGTCGTGGTGGTTCAGGCTTTCCAGCATCCGCGGTGCAAAGTCTCAGAGTCTCGGTCAGTGGATACTGGGGCTGGTTCTCGCGTCTGACCTTGGCAGGGCCTTGTGCGGGATAACTGTAGAGTGGGAGAATCCGTCGGCCATTCCCATGTCCATCCATCTCCATTTTGGGAGGCCTGACCTTACTGCGCAGGGCCAAGTGCAGCAACTTATGTAAGGTACAGACATGATCTGTGGAGGCACGGGGAGGCGAGACGAGGCGAGGCGGATGATCATTCATGACTGCTGCGTGTTGTTGTTTGTTTTGCTTGTGCTTGTTGCTTTAGTGTGGTTGTGCTGCCATTACCAACTACTTATTTTGCATAGGTAATAGGTGTTCGTGCCTAGGCACTCGATGATGTAAAAATGTGAGCGCTCGTGTCGAAAATGGTCCAGAGACCACACAATAAGTGGAAGGTTTCGCATCGGCTGGCCTAGCGCATTGACTTTCGGACAGAATTTTCGGTCGAGGCGTGACAGAGAGAATGGAAAGTCGGATCAATCATGTCCTTGGGCAATGAACGAATTGGACGAGGAATGCCTCTGTGCTCGCCTCTGTGCTTGAGGGATTTCGTAGGGGCGAGAGTCTGGCGATTCATGTTTGACTGCGCATCCGCATGTTCGTCCTACATATCAGCAGAGACGTCAGCTCTCGCAAGTACTCCGTATAGGCAGTCGAATTGCCTTTCTAGAGGAGACAGATGTAAGGTTCTCGCTGACTGTTGTCAACTGAGGTGTCTGACTGACGGGAAGCTGTGTGTCTGCATAAGGTATGTTGGTGTGTCAAAGTGTATGAGAGTGTGTGTGTGTGGTGATTATTCGCTCTGGCCGTGCCTCTTTGGAAGACGGAGAGAATTGTGTGTACGCAGTATTGTGTGTGTTGTGTGTGTACGTATCTTCTTCACAAGGAACACCCCCCCTTTCCTGAAGAGACCCACCTAAACAGTACAATTGGTACCCACTCTTCATCTCTGCCCCTTGCCCCTGTACTAGTGCAAAGAGGGAGATGGATTGCTCCAAAGTGGTTCCCGATGGGCGGAGCTAGGCCAGAAACCAAGACCTTCAAATCTCGCCAGACCGGTGGAAGCAGGGTTATTTGCAGAAACTTGATGCCATGGCGGCCGGCTTTTGTGTCCATTGCGATTCCATCATCACTCTAATCAGATTATAAGCCATTCAATATTTGCTACGGCCATTTGCTCCATCCTGATGCGTCAAGGAAGGAAAGAAAAGTCTTGATAGCAGATCCCCCCATGCAGAGGCTCCAGAGATTTTTCTACCTTGGTACCTTGTGAGAGGAAGGAGGCTCAGGCTTCGGGACCGGCAGATAAACTCTGGCGGAAAAAGGGGGCCGGGAGGCGTGTCTGTAAATGGCGAGAAAAAACACGGACTTTTGTTGCTCAGAATACTGGAGGAAATCCTCCCAGAATTCCTGCCAAAGACGCAGCCCACTGACTGCTGCAGCCATGACAGATTAAACAGACAGACAAATGATCAGATAAACGTATAACACAGACTCTGCCAATGCCAGTGTGTCTGTCTGCAACCTGCCAGCGTCAAACGCAAAAGACCTGCAAGTCGCGACACCATATCCACAGCAGCGGCAGCTCACGGGGATTCCGTCTACGCCGTAGCACATTAATGAGTCTCAAGTTCCCAACTGACTTGAGTAGCTCGGCGCCGTACCAGCTGAGATACCTACAGGACTTGACTCTAGTTTGAGGTAGAGCGTCTTCGTTGACCAAACCCGAGAGACTAACACGGCAGACTAAATACTTGGTAGCTTCTCCAGACACCGGTCTACATGTATTACCGCACCGAACCTTCCATGGTGACGATGCCGATGCTGGTGCTGCATGAGTGCTCAACTACAGAGTACCACCACCATCTTCAGTCTCAATTCTCCCTCTCTCTCTCTCTCTCTCTTTCACTCGCTCCCTAATGGAGCTGGGCTACAGTCTACTGCGTACACTACAGACTACGGATACCTTGGACTGCTGGAGGCGCCGGTCCGTCAGTTCTTGGTCCCAGTTCCAGTCTTGACCACACCCTCGCCGGCCCTGGCCCCTGTCTTGGTTACTTTGTACCCGCAGCGTGCACCACGAATAGCAGCGTGATAATTGCCTTGACCCCCCTTCTTTCGGGCCATTCCTTGCCTCCCTCTCTGTTGCTGTACCTATTCATACACAAAGTTGTATGGAAGAACGGCGGGATACTTTTTCTACACACCCCCTTCTCCAAAAAAGAGTGTTTCCCCTCCAGCCACACCCTCCGGGATCCTGGGTCTGCCTCTCTACCTGACTACGGATACGGATACCTCTATTACCCTTCATAGCGCCAGTCCACGCCAACCAGCGGCACCACTCAAAGTCCAGTCCTCCTCCATCCCTCCCTTCCCCCAGATCATTTTCTTCCTCTTCCCTTTCCGTGACAGCTTCATTTCTGTTCGTTTTGACATTCAATTCCCGTCTCTCGTTCACTCCTCTGTACGCAACAAAAGGCTTATATCTCCTGCCTTCAACAAAAGCTTCCCTATTCTACATCATCAAGAAAGAGAAGAGGAATCACACGTGGATTCAAGGTACGTAACTGTCGTGGAACGATCCGGAAAACAAGACCCAACACGAGGAAGGAGGCCACGGGCGAGAAGGAAGAGCGGAGAGCGGCTGCCAATGCTCGGCAGGAAATCGCCATCCATTGCTTGCCGCGTCGTGGAATGCCTTCTCGCCTCCTCTTCACTTCCTCCTGCCCCAAAAACACATTGCCCAATTCCATCTCGTCCCACCAGCCTCTCCTTCTGCCCTACTACACCTCTTCTCCACCGTCGCTTGCCTTGCCCATCGTCGACATCTGGGGGAAAAAAAGGAGTCGCTCGCCGGTTCCTTCAGAAACACACAAGAAACACCGGGGCCCCATATCCAACCAATTCTTTCGACCCGCGGACGTCAACTTCCTTCACTCCCTTCCCTCCTCTCCCTCTACAACCAACGTCGAGCTTTTTGGAACACCGCTTCAGAAATACCGACCTGGAGTAGACTCCAATTCATCAACGCCTCCATTATCTTTCCGTTCAAACGACCATCGCGAGCCATCGATTCTTAACAGATAAACTGACCCCGAAATCCACAGCCTCCAAATCAATCACAATGTACTCCAAGCTCATCACCGCCCTCGCGGCCGTCGGTGCTGGTGTTGCCTCTGGTATGTTCTGTTCGAAGCCCTCTTTCGGGATGGACGTTTTCTAACCACAATTCGCTTTGTCCAGCCCAGAGCAGCAACATCTGCTCATCGGCCACCGTTACCGTCACCGATGCCGCCATGGCTACCGCCCTTCCCTGCACCACCTTCACCGGTTCCGTAAAGATCTCCGAGAGCATCACCGGCAACATCGATATCAACGGCCCCAAGACCATCAAGGGCGACCTGATCGTTACCAACGTCACTCAGCTTGTTGGCCTTACCTCCTCCACCCTCGCCTCCGTTGAGGGCACCTTCCAGATGCAGGGTCTGACCCTCCTTTCTGACCTGCGCTTCACCTCGCTCGCCACCGTCGGCTCTATCAACTGGGTCACTCTGCCCGCCCTCGGCTCCCTAGTGTTCGGTACCGCCGGTGTCACCAAGGTTAACGACATTCTCATCAGCGACACCTTCCTGAAGAGCTTGGACGGCCTGAACGTCGCCTCTGTCGACTCCCTCCGCATCAACAACAACAACCAGCTTGTTTCTTACAGCAACCAGCTGGCCAACGCCACCAAGACCATCGAGATCAACTCCAACGGCCCCGACCTGGGCATCACCCTCCCCAACCTTATCTGGGCTGGTGAGATCATCATTGCCGATGCCGCCAAGGTCCAGATGAACTCCCTCGAGGTCGTCAACGGCTCCATCAAGTTCGACAAGAACACCTTCACCGAGTTCATCGCCCCCAACTTGACCCAGACCACCGATGGCGATGTCTCCTTCATCAACAACGTCGAGCTCACCAACCTGTCTCTGCCCCTTCTTGCCAAGACTGGTGGTGGTCTTACCATCCAGAACAACACCCTTCTCCAGAAGATTGACGGTCTTCCCAAGCTTAAGCAGATTGGCGGTGCTGTTCTCCTCCGTGGCAACTTCACTGAGTAAGTTTTACGGTTCTTGTGGTTCTGTGACAAATCTGACATATAATACAGGGTCGACCTTCCCGCTCTCGAGGACGTCAAGGGTGCCTTCGACACTCAGTCCACTGGCAACATTGACACCTCTTGCGACGTCTTCAACAAGATGAAGGGCCGCCAGATCCAGGGTGACTACAAGTGCCGCAGCAACAACACCAACGCCAACAAGGACGGCGACAGCAACGGCGGCTCCGCCGGTGGCTCCACCAACAACAACAATGGCGCCGCTGGCAACGTTGCTGTCAACACCGCCATCCTTGGCGCTGCTGTTCTCTTCGGTCTCACTCAGCTGTTGTAAACGACTGGCACTGGAAATACGGGCTCGGATAATGGTGGCGTTCTCCATACATCTTTCACTGTTTGTGCAATTTCTTTACAGCAACTCTGTCTCAACAGCTTGCGAAAACCCTCACGCATTCCCTAGACTGGGAACCTCCTGCGTATAGGAGAACCTCTAGACTTAATACTGGACGATGGGTGGAGATGCCACGGACCCTCGTCGACTTTTTACTCTCTTTTGCGTGACGAACCAAAAGCACTTACAGACCAACGCGTCGCGTCGTTTCTACCGCATCATTCGGTTCCGACCTTGCTGCGCTACATATCCCGCCTAGACGATTTTGGGAAAAGGGTTCGGTCGAGCGGCATGTCGAGAGCTTGGATGACGGGTGGTTAAACACGGGCGGTGGCAACGGCAGATACCTGGCGAAGGCGTGAGATTGATGGCGGACAAGAAGGCGATAGGCAACGAAGATAGAGAGGGCTGTAGTGTGTATTGAGGATCCATGATGTGTATACCTTTTTCTACTTTCAACGTTTCACTGTGTCTTATTGCCCTGAAGTGCCATGTCTGATGTGAAGTTACTATATGAGTAGACGTAATGCCAAAGCCGTTCGCGGAATGACGTTTTCTGGGCCCTTTGACAGCGAGCTTCCAATTGTTCGTATCTTCATCAAGTGTTTGCAACTTTATGAGGTAGCCATTTATTGTTTTCTATATTCTACGTCATTGGTAGATACCTTTATCGAATTTCTCAGTATCGAAGAACTTTGGCACTATAACATTGCCGTTGAATACGCGTCCATCCAGCTCATTGACCGCCTGTTTTAGTGATTATGTTAGAAAACGCCCTGCTGTGTGTGGAACGTGGCCGGGAGGGGAAAGACTTACACGAAGGGCAGAGACTTGGTCGGTAAACCTGATAAAGACCTGCCTCTTTTCAACGTCGATGTATAATCGCTCGACCCTGCCGTACTATAAGAGAGGACGTGATTAGCATTTGGGAAAACGGCAAGTGATATTCTTCATCTTTGGGTACACAAAGCAGGCAGGGTCCCTTTCTGTCGCTCCGGGAGAGCTTGAAGCATGGATCACTTACCTTTTCACCGCATTCCTCGCCAATCTCCTGCCCCAGCCCATTGGCGATCTCGCCCTGCAGGTCCTCCATGTTATCCAGCATGCGCTGCAGAACAATGACCTCGCTCATGGGCCCGCCAAACTTGCCGCCGCTGCCGCCATCGGTCTCGTCCTTGCGCTTCCCGCCAATGACTTTGGCGCGGTTGCCCGGCTCAGCCCACCCGCCGCCCTCGGCGTCCGACTTCTTCTTGCGCTTCTCGACCTGTACGCGCAGCGGGTTGACGATGCCGGACTCGTCTGCGCCCAGGCCGGAGCCCTTTGTCCAGCCGTACTTGCTCATGAGGCGTTGGGCGAAGCCGGCTTGGCCTGGGCGGGAGGATCGCGGGGCCTGAGCTTCTTCTGATGCGGCCGGTGGTGGTGGTGGTGCCCTGCTGGCGCCGAGGCCGAGGGTTGGTGGTGGGGAGTCTGGGTCTGAGGGCTCTTCTTCGTCTGCGGGTGGTTGCTTGGTGGAGGATGGAGTATAGCGGACGGGTGCACGGGATATCGTTGCTTCGTCGGTCACTGCCGGGGGAGGAGGGGGAGGAGGTGGTGCGGACGCGGAGAGAGCTTGACGGCGGGCATATGCGTCGTCTCCGATTGCTGCTTCCGTGGCTCGTGGTTCGGCTGGGGGTGGTGATGTTGGAGGCGGGGGGACGAAGGAGTATTCGGCTGGAGGGGCGAACTGATCTGAGGAGAGCGTTTAAGTAACGTGCCGTCTCTGCGCAAAGAAGATTGAGGCGGGGGGAAGACTCACTCATCGCCGGCCGGCGCTCCGTCTCTTCGTCGCTGTCATCGCTCAGACTCTTGCGTCTGCGGTGGCGGTAGAGCAGCCTCTTCCACTCCTGCACCTCGTGGATCCGCTCGTCGCTGCGCAGATACTCCTCGACATTGGTGGGCTTCGTTGGGTCGTAGATGTCGTCCCAGTTGGTCTCGGCGGGCTGGTCGTTGTTTCCCTTCTTCTTCTTCTTTCTGCGGCCGCCGCGCTGATGGCCTCCGCCTCCGGCACCGGCGCCTGCGTTGGCGCTGTAGCGCCACTCGTCTTCCTCTGTCACGGCCCAGTCGGCGAGGGTGCTCTTTGGCGGCGGTGGTTGTTGGGCGGCTGCCGTCGAGGATGTTGGCGCGGAAGAAGCTGCTGTGGAGGTGGCCGCGGCTAACGTGTTCGCGCTTGGTATCGTCTTGGGGAAGTTTGGCTTTGGTTTCGCTGTCTTTGCTTGTGGTCTGCGTATGGGCTGGAAGCGGAGGGCTGTTGGAGTGAGGTAAGTTTCTGGTGAACCTGAAAAAGAATATGGTCTAGAGGAGAGCGGCGGTAGTACATGGGTCTATGGGCTTTTTCACAGCTGTCCCATCCTTCGGGTCGGCGACCGTGCCGTCTTGGTTGTAGCGGACGGGAGCGCTCGAGATCGTGGCCGAGGGGTCGGCGACTGGGTCAAGGAGGTTTGCGTAGAGCGACAAGCCTCCTCGCGCGGGCGGAGGCGGAGGCGGCGGCGCGGCCATTGAGCTTATTTTGGCCGCGGAGGGGTAATTTTAAAGGATTGATATGGTGGTCAATGGTTGTGGGGAAGGTTATCAGAGGTGTTCTGCGTGATGGGCGAGTACCAGCAGCGAGGGTTGAGTGCGTCGCAAAAGAGACGACGAGATACGTTCAGCCTGGTTCCGCACAGCGAAGTTGAAGCTGCTGGGAAGCTTGCCTGATGGACCCACTCGTGGGGAGCGCACCTCGAATGTCAATGTGCAGATTGCACCTTAAAGTGCCAGGTGCCTGACGTAAAGAACGGATACGAATACCTGGGCTTACCTAAGGCGAATCAGCCAAACCCACCGGTTCGCTGCCGTTCGTCCGTCAGTAAAGCGGAGCCTGGCCGCCTGGGTTTCAGCACCTCAATGGCCGCTGGGCCACTGAAAACCTACCCCTGCGCGTTCCGGCACAGCGCCCAGCCCGCCGCGCAAGCGCAGTTCCATGTTTCTTCGGGGGTCTTCGTGGGGGACGAGCCACCGGTTGATCTGGGAAGGGCGGGTATTACAGTGGTTCAGTCAACTTCAGTGGGCAAATGTGGCAGCGGGCTAAGAAAAAGCCGACCGGGGTGATCCGGCTTGTCCCAGGCTGGGCTGGCCCCGAGCACATCATCGTCCTAGTCAGGTTTCCCTATCAGTCGACCATTGTGCCTCAACTTTTGTTTCCAACGTAGACTTGTATTTTACCTCTATCTAAGATTGTTACCGTTGAACGGCTCACTCACACAAGCTCCTTGAATATCCTAATTGCCTACCCCGGACGAATCCTCTGGGTTCTATCCTTGTCTAGACAAGTTCATCTGATAGTCCACCACCTTACCTCACCTTACTCCAAAAGCTTCTCCGAATTCGCTGGTGGTTGCAACTCTTCAACTGCCGTCCGGTCAGGCACAATCACACCCTGTCATCCAATAGAGTGAGAGATAAAATTCATACGTCAAGTACGCAAAGATGGCGTTGACTCTCCAAACCGCCATCAACGGCCCGGCCAACTCCACGGCCGTCATTGTGCCGTCCAAGCCCAATGCTCTCACAGCCACGTACGGCGACCTGGTGAGGGAGACCTCGGCCTTCCAGCAGAAGCTGGCCGCCATTGGCATCACAAAGGCCTCGCCCGTTTCCATCGCGACCGTCAACTCCTATGAGTTCATCGTCTCCTTCCTGGCCGCCTCATGGCAGCGTGGCATCGCTGCGCCCCTGAACCCGGCCTACAAGCAGGACGAGTTTGAGTTCTACATTGAGGACGTCAAGTCCGCCATCGTGTTGGTTCCCAAGGGTGCCTATGCCGCCGGTGCACCTGCCGTCAAGGCCGCCAAGAAGTTCAACGCCGCCATCGCTGAGACGTACTGGGATGAGGCCAGGAAGGAGGTCGCGCTTGATGTAAAGGATCTGGGACAGCTCAAGGGCAAGGGGCCTGAGAAGGTGTTGCAGGCTGAGGCCGACGACGTTGCCTTGGTTCTGCACACCAGCGGCACCACCTCCAGACCCAAAGTTGTAAGTCGTAGTCGGTCTACTTAGAGTTGAGGAACATGGGAAAGCTAACATCCTGTATAGGTCCCTCTTACACACCGCAACCTGACCAGAACAATGAGTAAGTCCAAGTCTCGCAGGAGAGAGGAGCTGAGATGCAAGGCTAACACCAGTGATAGAGAACATCCAGAACACATACCAGCTTACAAGCGAGGACCGCACTATGCTGGTCATGCCCCTGTTCCATGTCCATGGCCTTCTCTGCGGCCTTCTCGCACCCCTAGCCTGCGGCGGCTCCATGGTCGTCCCGAACAAATTCTCGGCCACCGAGTTCTGGGGAGACTTCATCACCCACAAGGCCAACTGGTACACCGCCGTGCCCACGATCCACCAGATCCTCCTCAAGAACCCGACGCCCAGCCCGCTGCCCGCCATTCGCTTCATCCGCTCCTGCTCCTCCCCTCTGTCGCCCACCGTCTTCCACCAGCTCGAGGAGACGTACAAGGCGCCCGTCCTCGAGGCCTACGCCATGACCGAGGCTGCCCATCAGATGACCTCCAACCCCCTCCCGCCCGCGAAGCGCAAGCCCGGCACTGTCGGCCTCGGCCAGGGCGTCGACGTGCGCATCCTCAACGACGCTGGTGACGAGCTCGCTCAGGGCCAGGAGGGCGAGATTTGCATTCGTGGTGAGAACGTCACAAAGGGGTACCTCAACAACGACGCCGCCAACGCCTCGTCGTACACCAAGGGCGGCTTCTTCCGCACGGGCGACCAAGGCAAGAAGGACGAGGACGGCTACATTGTCATCACGGGCCGCATCAAGGAGCTCATCAATAAGGGCGGCGAGAAGATTAGCCCCATTGAGCTTGACAACGTCTTGACCCGCCACCCTGCCGTCTCCGAGGCCGTCAGCTTCGCCATCCCCGACGACATGTACGGTCAGGATATCGGTGTTGCCGTTGTTCTCAAGCCAGGACAGCAGCTCAAGGGCGAGGATTTGAAGGGCTGGGTGCAGGAGAAGCTGGCCAAGTTTAAGGTTCCTAAGAAGGTTAGTTGATAAACTCTTACGAGACTGTTTGGAAATTCAGACTAACAAGATCTCAGATTTATTTCACCGAGACGATGCCCAAGACAGCCACGGGCAAGATCCAGCGCCGCATCGTCGCCGAGAAGATGCAGCAACAAGAGGCCCCCAAGGCCAAGTTGTAGACCAGCCGATTAGTAGACCATAAAGATTCGGCCATGCTCATGGCGGACCTAGATGATTGTAAGACAGTAGAAAGGGGTATTCTCGTAGACTTCACATACATCTGGCGTGAAAGACACTGTAGAGAGAGAGAGAAGAGAGATATTGTGTGTTATTTTAGATACCTAGAAAGAAGGATAGAATAGAGGGATTTCCAATATCTATAATAACGCCCCGCCGCATATACATGTAACGTAATAACCATAATGACTGACCGATTCTTCATGAATCTCATCAGATAGAGCCGCACACTCATGGGGCCTTCGTCTCGCCAGCCATGAACTTCAACCCTTCCTAGGCGTAAAACCCAAGGAGCCCTCCAGTCCCAAACAACTCGAGCGTGAAAAGAGAAAACGGAAAGAAACATCTTTCTTCAGTCGTAGTGACCGCCCTCATCCAACTCATCATCAAGATCAGGATCCTCCCCCTCATCAGAGTCGTAAAGCTTCTTCTGCTGCTGATCGCCTCCCTGCTTCTGCTGCGGCGACGCAGACGCGCTCTTCGGCACAATGCTCTTTGGCGTCACGGCATGAAGCTCAACCCAGCACGAGTTCCCCTCAGGCCCATTCCACCGCACGGGATTCACGTCCTTCCCGGCGTTGTCCGCTGCGGGCTCCGGCAGACCGTCTCCCCCGTGGAGCGCGTACTCCCTCGATATCCTCCTCACCTCGGCATTGGCGTCCGCCAGCGCGGCGAAAGCGCCCATGACGGTCGTGGCGGCTGTGATGTCGCCGTCGGCGCCGCCGTCGCTGTAGAGGACGAGGGCGATTGTATGGGGGAATTCGCGGCGAGATGGGGGCAAGGAAGCGACTGAGGAGGATGCCGTGGGAGGAGGAAGGCGTTTTGCGGGTGGTGGTGTGGTTTGGACTGCGCTTGTTGCCGAGGCGTTGCGCTTGTGCGCCGAGGTGTCTTCTGTGGATGACATCCTGACTGTCATTTGCCTTTTGGGTGGTTGTGTGAGGTTGTGTTGATGTGTGGTGAGATGGAAGGTTAGATGTGTAGCTTTATCGATGAGAGTTTGGGGGTTGCTGGTATAGGTAGGGTGATGTGTAAGGTGAGGTATGTATGTAGTTGTGAGACCTCTATCGGTGAGATGTCAATGGCTTGCAGAGGTGTGATGCAAGGGATGGGAATGTCAAGCTTATTTGGTCGTAAGTTGTGTAAAGTTAAGTAGTAACAGATCATAGGAAGCACATTCAGGTTCTTTCAGTACCCTCCCAATCCTCTTTTATATCAAAGACGGAAATCCCATCTCACGCGATATGTGGATGAGTGATTATATGACTGATCCCAAGTGTCACTAACAAAGATACGGGAACTCGGTGGAGACCGCCCGCCCGCTTCACCCACCTCCAGCTCCAACTCCGCCCCGTCTCGCCGTTTCGCTCTTCACCTCGGAGCTGTGCAAGCCCGTACTGCCCATTGAGTCAAGGTAAGGTACGAAATAAGGTACCCATCTGTCGCTGCGCCGGTATGTAGAGCTCAGCAATCATGCTCGGCACTGGCCTGATATGGATCGATTCAATTGCCTCGGTGGAGCGGCAAGTGCATCACAAGACGGCAGCGGGGTGGTCGGGATGGGATCTTGGAAGGAAAAAATGAAAGTCTCGGCTGGTCCGATGACCGGCGCAGGTCCCCATTGAGGTGCTCGCGCCGCCCGGGGGCAGAGAGGCTGAGAAGCTGCCCTGTGATGACATAGCACCTTACCTAGCTTTCTTGACCCAGACCAACAAACCGGGACCTTGGACGCCCCCCCCCCCCCAGCTTCGGGGTTGAGCTCGAATGCGCGAAGGGCGCGAACCCGGCGTGAACCGACTGTAGCCAGCTGTCTGCCCCGCTGCGGGCGGGATTTCTCCCCCAGCGCTGTTGAGGAGGAGGAGGCCTTGGCTTCTGGAGCATTTTAAATTCCTTCTCAATTGGCATTCGGAAGGGGGAAGAGGAGCTCGGGAGCTGGGCCGAGGGGAGGACGGGAATTTCGCCATTTTCGGGGGTAGGTGATAAAGATCCCTTGGGGTGGGAAAGCTGGAGCCGATGCCCCGATGGCACTGGGGGTTTGGGGGAATTGGGTGACTCAACAACACGGTCGAGGTTTCACCACCTTTTCACCTACTCACTCCGTACCAGTCCCAGATATTTGGTGGGGGCCGTGTCAGTCAGGTACTTGCCTTTTAAATTGCGCCCGACCTAGATATTCTCGACCAGCAGCTGCTAGGTTAGGCTACCTCCCGAACACCAACTCGTGTTCCCTCTTGTGACATCGCCATTGTCGAACGAGACGATGGTAAGGTCCCTAAGCCATATTGAGCTTCCAAAGTCAACTGTCTTAAACGAAACTCAGGAGTCTGGTACGTGAGTATGGAAAACCAACATCCACTGCGGGCTCTCTGTAAAGCACCGACCTCACGCCAATATCAAGGACAGTGCCATCCTGTCTATAGCCCTTCAAGAGAAGGGAAGGAAGCCTGGCCATTCTCAAAAGGCATGCATATTTGGGAACAGGGATTTACAGTCTCGATAGTCTCCCGGTGTAGCTTCTAGGCCTGAACATGGCCACTCCACGATATTGCATGGCTAATTGGCGTGCTACCAGGTGTGATGTACTTCAGGCCCCCGTGAGTCGGGAGCAGCGTCTGACCATCACTCTGTAGCCATCTGAGGTGCCATCCGATCTCTGGCAGAAAGGGAGCTCCGAGCTCAGGTTCCCAAATGTGAAAAGAAATCATGTCATTGGTCCATAATTGAGTACACTTGAGTTTGCCTCGCCCCGTTTAACCATTTCCCATTAAACTGCGTCCATCACAGTTTCACTGGCCAGAAGAGAAACCCCACAAAGACCGACATGATACAAATCGCTAGTCCGTTTACGCCAAACAAAACAGGTCTCTTCCTCATCGTCATCAAGCCTCGGCTTGCTCTTCAGCAGCGACTCTGAGCTCATAGTTGAGCTCGAAGCATTCAGCAAGAAGCTCCGTTACACTGCCCTGCCCTTCCGGGATATCGTCGTTGATCATGAATTTGCCATCTTGACGCATGTTGTCGATCGAGTGCAGCTGCAAGTGAATTGTTAGTCTGGTTCGACTTATTGATGAAGCACATCATACCTTCATGCTGTAAGGGTACAGCTCTCTCACGGACTGCACACCGCCGCTGTTCTTGACCTCGATGAGACATCGCTTGAGTGTTTGGAGCTGGTTGTAGATCGGCAGCAAGGCTTCGGAAACGGGCTCTGACGAAATCATCAACGAGTAGATGTAGGCGTAGCTTCTTCTGATGAGATAGAGCATCGTCTGTCGTCGGTGTCAGTAGAGCTCAGTCAAAAACATAGGTTCGTCCGACTTACACGCTGAACGTAGAGCTCTGCAGGCTTGCCTTCGTCATCCACCCAGTTGCCGTCGATTCGGCTCTCGTCGATCTTGTCCAACTGTCTCTGGAAGTCAAAGAGATCCGCCTCTCGAAGGGACCATGCTTGCGTGATCGAGAGTTTCTCCAGCTCGTTGCGAATGCGGAATAAGATGTCGTATGTTGGCTTGAAAGAGTCGGGAATTACTCCTTTCCTGAGCAAAGGTTAGAGACGTTATCATGGGCGATGGCGTATCCCGTACCTCTGAAGAACGAAATCAGACCACAAGAGGCATTTCTCCAGCAAAGCGGTCACCTCATCAAATCCGCCGGGTGTCTTTCCGTCCGCAGTCAGCAGCTTGCCCTCCTGTCTCTTCTCCTCGATCTCCCGCAATTGAGCTTGCAGCTTCTGGACCTCTGATGGCGAGAACTATATCACTGTCAGCTTTGTCGCGTCACATTCCTCTTGACGCTGGCCATACCTTTGTTCGGGTGTTTGCTAGAGACATGGATCTCAGGATAGAGATCAGCTTCTCATATGTCTTTGGCAGGGGGTCCTCGAATCGCTCCAATCGCTTCCGAAGGTTTGCCAGAGACTTGTCACAGAGCTCCAGTCGGTTCGAAAGCAGGGTGATGAGATATGGAGGGTACTCGGTCTCGGTAGTCTTGACATTCTGCTCGAGCTTTGTCAGGGTGTGTGAGATGCTCTCCAAGTCCTTGATGGAATACAAGTCGACTTCGGTGAGGTGGTCCAACAATCTTCGGACGGTCGAGGTCAGGGCATAGGCAGCTGGAGCTTCGTTGTTTCGTCCGATGGTCATGAAAAAGAGCGAAAGTAGTTGGAAGCAGCTCTCTAAGACTCTGTCCACTGCAGCGCGGGTTAGCCGTTGACCCCGCACAGTCGGGACGATAGCGCGTTACCTCTATTCTCCTCCCTTCGGTCAGACGTCCGGGCTTCATTGAGCAGGCGAACCTGCTCGATCGTCTCTTCGTAGAGCGGGAGAACGTCCTGGCTTCGAATATAAGTGGTACGATCCTGCTTCAGGAGCAGAAGTCTGTCGCGGATCGTAACCAGCTTATCGAGAATCTCCTTTTCGCGGTCGTCCCGCGGCGGGGGGCATGTAGGGGTATCCATCTCGCGTGACGTAACTCAAGACGGGCGTTGGTTGCTGGGAGGGTTGTAGAGCTGGAATATGGGCGACTGCCGAGTGTTCGAGATCATGGACGGCCAAGGGATGCACCTCTTGCGCTGGAAGTCGATACCGTTGCAGGTCTGCCAATGATCCAACATTCAACGAAGCACGATAGCGGGGCCAAAGGTGAATCACAGGTCGGGACCGGGAAGCTAAAGTCCGATCGTCGGTAGTGTAAGGTATATAATTCCCCGTTGCACTGGGGTTGTTGTGTGCTGGTGAACAGAGTTGTATTGGTAAGAAGCCTGTGACAAAGAATGGGCTGCCGTGGCATCCGTAGAAGCTGCGCAGATGGGATTGCGTATGTAAGTAAAATGCGGATGATGCGCTCGTTGGCTTGGCCGGAAACCAATGGAAAGGTGCACCTCAACCAGCGACGCTTCTGATAGAGAAGGTGGGGGTGACTGACCTGCTTGGAAAGTCAAATCGAGGTATCGATGTGGGGCATGACCCAAGTGTCACCGACGGCAGCGGGGCAGGCATGCCCAGGTCGTCGATCCGGGATCCTATTGGCTCGCACCTATGTCCAATCACATATCTTGAAGATAGACCCACTGCAGGCGGGCTTTAACCGAAACCGCCGAATGTTCATTAGGTCTTGAAAGCCCTGCCAAATTTTGACTCGGTGGATGACCTCGCGATACCATATTGACTGCTCCTTTGCAAATCACACTCACCATCCGCGAAGACAACCTCCAGTCGCAAACGCCCAAATCAGTCACAATGTCCACCGCCGAGCTCGCCTCTTCCTACGCGGCCCTCATCCTCGCCGATGATGGTGTCGAGATCACTGTGCGTCCGCCCCTCGAGTCACCCCGCCACGAAAATAAATAAATCACATCAAATAATACCAAAATATCACGACAAGGAACGAGACTAACAGTGTTGGAATTTTAGGCCGACAAGCTCCAGACCCTGATCAAGGCTGCCAAGATCGAGGACGTCGAGCCCATCTGGACCTCCCTGTTCGCCAAGGTACGACGCGACGACAATATCCTCCACCGATTCGAGGAAGGACAACGAAGGCTGATTTGAGATTTCACATAGGCTCTTGAGGGCAAGGACGTCAAGGACCTGCTCTCCAACGTTGGCTCCGGTGGTGGCGCTGCTGCCCCCGCTGCCGGCGGCGCTGCCGCTGGCGGTGCTACCGAGGCTGCCGCCGAGGAGGCACCCAAGGAGGAGGGTACGTTGAAATCCCACAACTATGGACACGACGTTGTGCACAAAACAAATACTGACACCCGCTACAGAGAAGGAGGAGTCCGACGAGGACATGGGCTTCGGTCTCTTCGACTAAGCGATTTTTCCTGCGACGATTTCCTTCCCTTTGTAACTTCAACTGCATGGATCCGGGGGTTCTACGATTCGCGCGATCATAAAGGATTGGGTGGAGGCACGATATCCTGCTGCCTGGACAGAGTAGCTCTCATACGATAATGTGAAGACGCTCTCTACGCGGAGTTCACTGGACATCCTCAAAAAATGAAAGTGGAATTTGGCATGCTTTGAAAATATCGGGACCCGCGCGGTGAATGGAGTGAGCCGTGGACGTCGACATGATACACCAGCTTAGTTCGAGTTGGAATGGCTTATGACTCTACCTTGGCTTCTCGACTTCCCGACTTCTCGAAAGTGGTGACTGTGATTCCTACTTAGCCGAAAACCAACACCTATACGGGGTAGTCGGCACATATATGTCACCATTCCCCACGTCATCGGCATGCCCCAATCGGGATATGTTGATGGGTGAGAGTGAGGCAGACTACACCCTACATGTTGAGCCTTGCCAGGGTTATCATGTCTGTCAAGTCGATGAGTCCCATGGTTACTGGTGCTCGTGTCGTGGGTAAGGCTATGTAATTCAGACCTTATCAATTGACGGCTACAGTCTCGATACTGTGTCTTCGTCATTGCCCACCCAGTTTTCGCGTATCATTGAATTTCGGTAAACAGTCGGGTCAGCCCCACCGTCCATGATACTCCGACATACGCTATCTCACCCTTATGTAGTCCACGATTCCACTGCTGACCTTGCTAAGTTCAAGCTCACGCTCCTTCCAGCTTCGGCTGGACGTGTATTAATTGCAGTCACATCAGAAAAGGAGGAGAGCGGAAAAACTGTAGGAAGATATCGTTGACTGTTTCTCAATTCTTTTCACACTCAATGAGTGTTTTTTGACTAACCCCCTGACATCCGCAACGCCATCATCTAATGCAATCTTCCGGATCCTCGATTTCCTGGGCTCTGGGTCCTTTAAGAAACCTGGGAGACTAAAACTCCCGAATCTGCTCATCCTAGAACGCTTATTTGACGATGAGAACGGCGCTGGGAGTGAGCCCTGCCTCCTTCAAGGTCTTGCTAAGATCCATGTGGCCCTCGAACGTCTTGCGAGGGAACGTGGTCGAGAAGCTCGTGACTGTCGTTCCGGTCTCGGACCGGAGCATCTCCGCCACCTCGAACAACGTGGTCTCAGCCGGCAGGGTCTTGACGACGTTGCCGCCGGCGGTCTGTAAGCGCAAGCGAGCCTCGTTGTGATTGGCGACCGTCTTCGGGCCAGCAGATGCGGCGGCGGCGGCGGCCGGGGCAGATTCGGGGGCTCTTCCCTCTCTCGCGGCCTTGGCCTCCTCGGCCTTGCGGCGACGCTCCTCCTTGTCGGCCTCGATCTTTGCCTTGATGCGGCGCTTCGCCTCGATGTCGTCCTGCTTCTCCTGGCGCTTCTTGGCGGCCTCCTTGATCTGCTCCTTGCGCGCCAGCTCTTCTTTGGCCTCCTGGGTCTCCTTTGTGGCCTTCATGCGAATCTTCTCATTACGCTTGGCGTCTTCCTTGTCGAGGAGGGCCTGCTTCGCCTTCTTCTCCTTGAGCTGCTCTCGGAGCTGGACGAGTTTCTCCTTCTTCTGGTCCTCTGTCAGTGGAGCAATCTCCTCAGTCGACTCTGAGAAGTCGGTGTGATCCCTGGTATTCGGTGTAAGTACTCAGCATGCCCAGTCTGTCCTGTAACGATGGAGACTTGAGTGTAGCGAATAGAATTCAATGGTGGTGGTGATTGGATCATGGCAACTTACGTCTTTGTTGCGTGGTATGAGGCAGTATCCTGAGATCTGAAGCGCTTGCCGCATTCGTTGCAGACGAGAGACTTTGCCGTACCGCCGTTCTCAAGAGCCTCGATGTTGGCTTGGACTTCAGCGGCATCATCGTCATCATCGTCCTTCTTAGCTTCAGTAGCGGTAGCAAGCTCTTCGAGGGGCTTGTCTTGGTTGGTCTCGAGCCACTCGAGAGCTCCGTTCACTGTGATCAGTCAGCAACACCATCTCACACTTTCTTGTCACAATGCTTGATGAATCTTTGTCGGATAGTATAGGTCAGGCACTCACGGTTTCCAGTCTTCTTCACGGCAAGCTCGGCCCGGGCCTTCTCAAAGCCCATGTCGAGCAGCTGGTCGAGATCTGACTGTGTCATTTTGGTGGATAGTGGTGGTGGTGGATGGCGGGGTTGTTTTTCTCGGGTGGTGAGGGAATCTGTCTGCTTGAATGAGGACAAAAAGTCTTTAATAAAGAGTATGTGAAAGCGATGTGTGAATCGCAATTTGTATCCTCCTCGGCTTACCTATCGGAGATGAGGTGAGTTGTGAATAAGATTCGAGATATTCCCGTTGCTGTATGAACAAAGCTGGCACGGCAGGCACTGTTGAGTGGTTGTTTCCCGAGACGTCATCTGCAGGTGCCTTCTCCGATGAGAGCTGTGGATAGAGGGGCGACCTGGCAGTGGCTGGAGCGCGGGAGGGACCGACAACACGGACTCTGGAGCTCTTTATTCCTCATGCTTTGTCAGGTAACGTAAGTACTCCGTATCTAATTGATGTTCCTCTCTGTCCCTATCTCTTCGTTGGATTATATCTTGAGTTTAGAACCAGGTCTACTTTGTCCAGAGCTGTCAAGGCAGCAATAAGTTTCTTCCTCCAAAGACTGAAGACAATACAGGTACTGCATAGGTTCGTCGACAGAGCCAAGTACCGTCATAGTACCTGGTATAATTAGAAGCGCCACATGAAGGGGTCCCTTCCACTTTTAGTGGATGAACATGATCAATCAAACCCCCGGGCCCGGATTAACCACCCCTGCCCCAAGTTCCCAAGGGAAGCTGCGAGTGGAGGCCCGAGGCCCCAGAGCGCGACTCCGATTGACCGTCCGCTAAACTTGTAAGGGGGCCACTGGGGGGCTAGAGAGTCTAGAGTGTACCTTAATGAAACCTGGCCTGGACTGCCCGAGACTGAGAGTGAGAGTGGGAGTCTGGGAGAGGAATTGGTTTGCCCAGAAGCCGGACTTTGTGTGCGCATCCTCCCTATCCCAATCGAGTCCAGCCCAGTTTGTCGTTGGTTAGGTACCTTAGCTGCCACGCTGCTTAGGTACCTTGCCTTACGGTGGTGTGTATTACGTCGTGGGCTCTTGCGTGCGAAACACCTGCTTTTCTGCCCGTACTTCGTACCCGTCCCGAACCGTGGTCAATTACCCTGCTTGCCTTTCTTACCTCACCATACCTTACCTACCTTACCACAGGTTCCCTCCTTACGTTCGTACTCTTTCAAGAAACCTTGACCTTACCTTACAACCCATCGACTTTTCTAATATCGCCCCGCGCGCAACACTCCTTCGACATCGTCTCGCCCCCTCACATTTATCTCGCAAATTCTCTTCCTCCCGTTAGCCCAGGCCGAGGCCTGTTTCGATTGCGCCGGACTCTCCTAATCTACTCTACATCATCACCCACTAGTTTCGCACCCGCCCCAAACCCACCATGTCGGTCGAAATCGAGCCCACCGAGTTGAGCTTCAAGCGTAGGTCCTTCTTGCGCGCATCCCATCTTGCGTCGTGCTGACAATTCTCTTCTTCCCAGGTCCCTTCACTGTCGAAGTCGCTCGGATTCTGCGGATCAAGAACCCGAACCAGTCCCCCATCGCCTTCAAGGTATGCGGCCACCCAATCCCTCGGCTGTCACGTCACCCTTTGCTCACAGATTATGCGACCAGGTCAAAACCACCGCCCCGAAGCAGTACGATCCCTTGCATGCCGTGCAGCCTTCGTAAGCGACTGACGATATCTCCAGGTACTGCGTTCGCCCCAACTCGGGTCGTGTTGAACCTGGACAAGATGTCGAGGTTACAGGTTGGTGCTCTGCGCAAACGCCAGGTGGTCACATGTCACTCACAGTATTCAGTCCTTCTCCAGGCCATGAAGGCAGAGCCGGCTCTCGACACCAAGTGCCGCGACAAGTTCCTGGTCCAATCCGTCTCCATCACTGCTGACAAGGAGTTTGCGAGCATTGCAAACATTGTACGAAAACCCCCACATTGATTCCGAAGGTCTGGCGCACAAGCTAACGCAACGCCTGATAACACAGCTCGACCAGACTGACAAGTCTTCACTCATCGAGCGCAAGATCCGCGTCAACTGGCTCGCCGCCGAAGACTCGGTGTCCCTTAATGGTGGCAGCGCTTCTGCTGTCGCATCCACACCCAATCGCCAGTCCGTGGTCAACGGCGTATGTTCTCTGACAGCTCGTCGACTCTGAAACGAAATGCTAACAAACCGCAGGACTATACCCCCGATGTCTCCAACGTCTACTCGTCTCCCCAGCCGGATGCCGACTCCGGCAGCCCTGCGCCTGCAGCTCGACCATCGACCTCCGATGTGAAGGAGGATACTGTTTCCGAGAAGGCACAGTCTACAGTCAGCGCTGCGAGTCACGTTGTCGCCAATACCGCCCAGGTCACCTACGAAGAGTTGAAGCAAAAACTTTCCCAGGCCGAGGCCAAGATTGCAAGCCTGCAGGACACCAGCGGCCTCCGGCAACGCGTCAAGACCGAGACTGAGAAGCTCCCTACTGCCCAAGAGGCTGCCGCGGCGGTGAGGCAGGGAGCTGAAGGTGTCTCGGTACAAATTGTTGCCATTCTGTGCTTGTTCAGTTTCCTCCTTGCTTACTTCTTCTTCTAAACCATTTTTGGTTTTCCCTGACAATTCCCCCTTACACGACCTTTCTACTGGAGGACTTATGAAGCGCTAAGTAGCACCGGGTTGAGGCAGCATAGTCGTTGACGCCCCTGTAGTTACTTGCCAAAACACAATGGCACGATGAGCGGAAGTTTGGCGATGCGGTGAGGTGGATGGAGAGGAGGACCATCGACAGACATGGAACGGAGTCAAATCACATGTAACCATAAGGATTCTTTTTGTCGTAACGGCGTGGCGTCCCGGACGCGAAGTAGTTGATTTCAGAGACTGATCTCATGACGATGTTCATCT